TTCTTCTCGCCCTCTTGGATTAGGGGGGGACCTCCGTCTCTTCCTCTTCACGTCGTCCTCGCCATTGATCCTAATTCTCTTAAAATTACAAGATCATCAGAATATTAAGCCATTCAAGTCCTAATTTTAATCAATTTTAAAGATTAACGTGTAGCTCTTTTTAAGGAGATCTATTCTGGCCTTTTGTCCTGCATCAGTTAACCATTCTAAAAATAAGTTTATAGAATTGCTGGTTGTAAAGTGTTGTGGTATCAATCATAGGTGTTCTCTTTGTTTCATCAACAAAATCCGGTCAAAGAGACTCTTTGCCTTTCAGCAAGAGCTTTGGGTTATATACCTCACACATATCAGCAAGGACTTTGGGTTAAACTTAAGTTACCATCTCATATTTTATATGGTTTAATTACCTTTGGAATTATGGTCTCCTCTTCAGCTAGCTGTCTTGTTCTTGGCTTCAATTCAACTTTAATCCTCAATTGAAATATGTACAAAAGATGATGCTCTACTCCATTTCTTAGAAAAGATAAAAAGCCTTTTAATGCATGTTTCTAGGAATAGGTTCAATACTAATGATAGATGTATTAGAAAAAATTACCTAATGTTAAAATTCTACTCTAGTCTATACCTAATTGAGAGAAAAAGAAAGAAAAGTAAGAAATGTTGTAGATAAAATTTAATGTTGATATCATTATTATTATGACTGTTTAGTTATTCCACTACAAGTTATCTTGATCACGTGGGAAATTTTGACTAATCTCTTATGTGGGACAAGGAGGCCAGAAGATATCCTCTTAAAGAGAATTACAAGTTGGGCTTTAGAGACAACTTAGAGAAGACTTAAAAGCTTTAATATCTAGATGAATCCCATTATTTTAGAAGATATTTATGATCATTAATTACCTATTGGGTTATTTAAATCAAAAAATCAGACGACTTCTCAACCTATCTCTCACATGAAGGTGGCTATCTTATGTATCTCACAAATTCTAAGAGCAATAATTTAAAAACAATGACCAACTTCACGATAAATTAAAAATCAATACACCTTTGTAATGGAGATTTTTGATCTCTTAAAGATTCTTGTTGGTTCTAACTCCATGAGCTTTGTTAGGGATTTCTCAAATTGAAAGATGAGCGTCAATGGCAAGAGGAAGGATGGGAATAAAGGAGGAGAGACATGATCTAAATGGGTCGAGTCAAGGGCAAAACAGCTCAGACTGAGTGGTTCAAACCAAGGAGTGGATTGGTGCGGTTCGAAGGGAATGGGCTGTTTAGGCCGAGCGGCTAGGTTCCACGAACCGATTTTGATTAAAAAAATGATAATAATAAAAAGGAAACAAGCTAGAGGGAGAAAGGGGGCGAATCAACGGTTTTGGTGGGAGAGAGAAAAAAAGGGTTTCATCAAGACAGGCAGCTAAAAGTCAGACAGCAGTGACAGTGGCAAAGAGACAGGAAGAGGGTTTCGTGACGGGAGGACGGCCGAAAGACAGAACGGTGGAGGAGGTGGAATGATTTGTGGCAACGGTGGTGATTCTAGGGCTTGTGGCGATGCAAGGGGTGGTTGATGATAAGGCGGCAGAAGCAAGGATGGAGGTGGCGGCGGCGGCGACAAGGGCTTAGATACTCAACGGCAGAGGTGAAGATGGGGGCGGCAGCAAGGACAGCGAGAGGTGGGCTAGGCTGTGGCTGAAGTGTGGACAAGCAAATGACAAAGGGATGGAAGGACGACGAAGTGGGAGAAGAGAAAGAGAGAGAGGTCCCCTGAATTCAAGAGGGCGAGAAGAAGAAGATACCCCTAATCCAAGAGGTGAGCGAAATAGAATAGAAACCCCTAATCCAAGAGGCAAGCGAGGGAGAAGAGGAACCCCTAATCCAAAAGGTGAGAGTGATAACAAGAACTTTTTTGATTCCAAATTCAACTTCAATCTTTTTCTTTTCAAGTATTTATAAAAAGGAAAGGAAGGTAGTTAGAGTTGCCCCCTCTCAAGGATGTCCAGTGGCGTCTCTTGGAGGGAGAGGCGCCTTCCTTTCTTGGAGGAGAAGGGGCATGTGGGTGACCAGGCCTCGTCTCTTCCCTCTTCTTTCTCCTTGTGGGTCCACTTAAGAGGATGAACCCTCATGTTGACTCCATCAATCTCATGTTAAAATATGATAGAACTTAGACTATAATACTATCCGCATCTTAGATAAATTTATAGCTTCAAGACTAAATCGGGTGAAATCTAACTTGGATAATCAAATCAGCTTCTGTTAAATAGAAAACGCTGGTCTTATTATCCATTCTAACCTTGACCATCATGTTACACTTTATGGTGAGAAAAATAAATCCTAAATCAACATTTGAAGTGCGTTATTTCATGAAGTTAAATTGCCATTAGATGTGGCAGAATAATGCCACATCGTTAATGAATTGCCATTAGATTAGTTTAGAATCATATGTTTAAATTTTTATTACTTTCCTGTCCTAGTCATTTTGCTCCAAATGAAGTGATTCCGACTTTCTATGAGATATCAATTTCAACCTAGTTCTATGCTTGGGTCCATGAAAAAAGAGGGGATCCAAAATAGTATACTCTATAAGTCTTGCATAAAGTTTACCAAATTGACTAAAACAATTTCACATATGGATGAGAGGCCTAATCCGATTTAAGAACATCCATAATGTTAAATGTAGGAAGTAATTTCAAAATGAGGTACTAGAATTCTTAGTGACTCTAACGATTGATTGACACAAATAAACAACACCGCTATTGTAATTCATACTTTTTTAATTAGCTTAAAACTCAAATTTCTTACTTGAAGTTAATCTCAACTATAAAAACGGTAGTGAAAAATAAAACAAACTAATAGCCTCACACTCACATGCCGCTCCAAATTTTAACAAGATGATAAAATATTATTAAGGATCTTAGTTTGTGTTAAATTTGTTTAGAGAAATCTCAAGGGGTATGTGTTTTCTTTTAATTGGAAAATTCGTCAAGGTGGATATGGGTCTCTAATAAGTCTTTATTATCATGAGTTAATAATTAGTAAATAATATATTTTTAGCCTTAACTCTTGATAAATAAACTTATATTTATGTTAAAATGTGAAAAGTGATTTTCAATTGATTAACATGAATATTTAGCTAATTATATGATTTTCTACGAATTTATATGATTTTTATAGTCTTATTTTTGAGATAAATAAAGAAAAAGAAAAAAAAAAAAAAAACAAAATGGGGGGTACCCACCAGTTAGTCAAACCTACAAGCAGGTTGGAAGCTTAGTCAAGGAGGAGTTGTGAGCAAGGGCTCGAGCAGCTAGGATTGATGGGGCACGTGTGCACCACTTCCCTTCCACGTCACCATTGGCCAGTCAACTATAAGGTAAAGAGTGGTCATACACATGGGAGAAAGTGACTTGTTTGCAAATATAATATTACTATATATTCACTCGAAACTTTGGCACACAAGTGATGTAGGACTACACTTACATCACACCTTCCTCAAAAAAGGCTTCCATGATTTTAATACCTATAATACTCCTTATTTATAACAAAAATATACTATGATAATATCATTTGATAAGGATATTAGAGTAATTATTTCAATCTCTCTCATACAGGTAGACAACCGACACATATTCGAATCCTCTTATAGTCAAAATTCATATTTTTTATCTGATTATTGAGACTTTTTTATAGATCATTAGTAAAAATCTCGTCAATGCGATTTACAGAGTATTATTACTAAAATTATTAAATAATTCGTAATAAAAGATCACAAATTCATCAAGTAAAGTATCTCCAATTGATCGACGAATGAGCCATCATCAAGAAGAGGGCGATCTATCAGGAGATGAGTCATCACCTCCTAATAGCATACTAGATACAATAAAGAGTCTCCTCTTGCTAGGCGGACGTATGGATGAAGCTCCCTAACACACGCCCTACCTCTATCTAGCTCATGTCTATCGGGTGATAGCTACCGAAGAGTCGTAAAGTCGCTGTTTTTCTATTTTTTTAGGTGATAACTACTAGAGATGATTCGACAACTCATTTCATTGATCTTTAAACTTTGCAAAGAGATCTAGAGATTGTCCACATCGTCTTTCTTTAAGAAGAGCCTTCGAGGCTATAGATATTACATGACAATCCACTTGAATGCTCAAGATTTCGATGCATCACCGTCACATCGTCACTGCAATAGTGGAACTGTATTTTCCTACTTTTAACTTAATTTTTACTTCATTTAGTAATAATTTATGTGATTTAAATTTACCAAGCTATACTTCATTCAATTATAATTTTTTTAGCTTTTATAGATCTTAATTTAATCAATTAAATCATTTGTAATCGCTTACATAAGAATCGTCAAGTAGAACTCTATTTCTACTCAATTTGTGTTTGTTAGGTGCTGACATCATCTTGATGTCCGCACCCTTATTTCCCTTTTTTGTAAATTTAAATATATTTTATTTTCATTTCCTAATATATAATTTATAGAAAATAGTATTCTTTGAGGAAAATTTTAAATAATTATCATATATTATATTACATTCTTGTGATCGACTTAGAAAAATATTATTATTTTTAGAAGTTTTATTAAGTTATAATTGATATATTTGTTTAGTAATACTTTAAATATCTAAAAATTATTTTTTTCTAATTTTATTAATTTTAAATTTATATGATTTACTATACAATAACTAAATCACGTCAGTCCCTTGATGTGCATTGAAGATAAGATAATGTGCACTCTCTCAACAAGCGCATGCACAAATGGATAGTAATTGACAAGAACGAAAGATGTGGATGCCATCTAATTTTGTTCAAGAAACTACATCAGTCACCTAAATATGCTTCAATCATTCATAAAGAGATGTTAATGAGAATATTGATCAACTGCTTCAATAAAAAATGACTGAATCAAAAGGTAACAATTATTTTCATCTCAATCAAAAGGCACCATTTATGTTACTCCATCTTGTGGACAATGATAACAAGCAGCTTAGGAACCCCTAGTAAGGCCGCTGGCCAATGATGTTGCCGCGGGGACTATAGTTGCATGTGATAAAGATGGCCCTGCTGTTGCACTTAACGCGAGCGCAGCCGAGGTTTGAAGATTTGTGCCAAACCACCTGCGTGTAGTGCCCGCATACCTTCCCCGTCGCGCAGGTATTGGTGGTATAGTTGTAATACTGCTTCTCGTCGACCCACAATTGGACTGCCTCGCGAGCTGTCCACTCTTTTCCGCTCCCCCAGAAGAGGTTCTCGCCATATGGTCCGCCGGAATGCACAAGTTGGCAGTCGCCTATCCTCTGATTGGCATAATTCTGTGCGTAGGCAGCCAAGGTAGCATTCCACGCTATTGGGCCGACCCCGACCGCAGAGCGGGCTGTGTTGTGGACATCCAGGTAGTCCTGGGGAGCGTTTTGGGCTTGGACGGAGCCTACAGTCCCCAGCACCAACACACAAGCCAATACTGCTACGGGAAGCTGGTATGCCGCCATTACCTCCCTTCAGACCGCAAACACCTTTCTGCTTTCCCTACACGAGAAATCCGGGATAGAAATGGCATGGAATATGTCTACCCGTATATTTATAGGCGAACCGATATCTCATAGGTGTGAAACGCAAAAGACCACGGTTCAGGGAGGAGGATAGTTGCGGTTTCATTCCGGCAGTTGTCTCAACTTTATATAGGAATTGAGAAAAATAAGAAATACAAATCCAAAAGAGATTCTTCACGAGATGTAATGTATCTGATGACCGGTAAGGCGACCAACAGTACTGCCGACAAGCGATTAACCTGTTCTCAATGAGTCGCCATCAATTTGACCTTCTCCATTCCCGCCGTGATGCATTGCATTGCCCTCCTATTAAAAGAAATTGAATGGATAATGAGCAAGTAGGATACAATAAAAGTAAAAATATTAATAAATTACGAATCAGATGGATAAGTAGGAAATGATGGCAAGAAAGGGGTGCTACGAGCCATTTCCCATCTCCATCATGGATTAAGACACAGTGCGGAAAATATCCAGCGGATAATGTATATTTCTCAAATGTTGAGCTTTCTCGAGATAAGCTCAACAAAGAGAATTTCCGACTCCATTAAATGGGCAAAGTAGTCAGTATCTCTTTAATTGGGGAGAAAGAAGGAAATCTTGTTCAAATTGATCATCTTTAATTAGGTTGTTGATCAATAGGACTATGGTAGATTTTCAACCATTAATGGTCAAATTATCACAATGATAAATACGATATGTCTAAATCTATGGCTTATGAGAAAGGAATTTTTTGTACTGCCTCTAAAAGTTATGATGATATTTGTCTACGGCAATAAAGACTCAAAACAATAACTTTTGTCCTAACATTTAGCATGCAGGCTCAAGGAGGCCAGCATATTCAGTGGTGGCCTACTAAAATTGTTGATTCAACCTATTTAGTAACTGAGAACTTACTGGCTTAGTCCTTATAGAGTGGAGTAAGTCAGATTTACAAAACCTCTGTAAATTGTAGTCAGAATGGGACTACGATACTACCTAATTTGAACATTTATTTCCAAATCATGATATTGTACTTAAAGCTTAACTCATTGTTTTCAATATTTTGCATGAAATTTCAAACGATGACCACTTTCTAAAGATCCTTTTATAAGTATTTCATTAACCCCATATTTACTATATTCTACTGACTTGGAAATATAATTAGGTTTAGAAAAAATGATTTTTTATACATATTCTAGGTAATATTTTTCATCTTATCTAAGATTTAATTCTATGAGCATGGTAGTTTTAGACAAATTTTGTAAAATATTATATTCAAAAGTTTCATATTTAGTGCAGACCCTTCCTTCTCTCCTTTTGTGAGACTATATTTCCCATGTGTGATGGTAGAAAATGTGTCTACTCTGTGTATCTAAAGAGAAATGGGCATCTCCTACATCTGCACGGAACAACCCTACTGGTAATGGAATAATGTGTTTTTCTCTGCTAGCCATCTACTAGGGATTTTGAGGAACGGGGAACGACATTACTATGCCATGATTATACGGGTTTAGATGATGACACAACAATATTTGTCAATCTAGTGGATGTGAAGCAAGACTAGGGTGTTGAAACTCTTCCCATATTCACATCTTAAGTTGCAACGCTTAGATTCACCACATTGGCCTATCCATCTATTTGAGAATGATGAGATGTACTAATTATGGTCTCATTTTGAGTTTCAGGAAAGAGTCTCCCAAGCATGTGCCAAAACTTAACATCACGATTTCAGATAAAACATATTTAATGTCATAAGGGTTGCCAATTTCTATGAAATAGAACCTTGCAACTCTCGAAGCATCTTGTGCCATACTATAAGGAGTTCAGTGAGACATTCTTGAACATGGGCCAGCCATTAATATAATCTTCATGACCGTGTGCTTTGATATCCGACAACAAAATATAAATTCACATCCTCGAAGAATTTCGGATTGGAAGAGGTGCATATAGTCCATTGTTTTAAACTTACTTCTTGGCTATGTGACATTTTTTAATGATTGCTATCACATTCCATATCTTTCGTCATCACGACCCAATATAAATGTCTTAAATAGGGATGAGCACGGCATTCTACGTATAATCGATATTGCAACACCAGTAGAAATTTGCAATCAACATCATGTACCTGAAGTGTTGATTCTTGTCCACACTTCTCCTCATCTAAAACCGAGCACTCGGCTCAACAAAATGGTCGAAAAACATTCCCTTTTTATGGATCATCTTTTCTCATCTAATTCTTTAGAACCATTATGCATCGAATAACTTGTCTATAATAAATCCTCGCTGATATGGTCGCAAGCTGTAAACGAGAGCTTCAATTCAGCGGAACTAACCAAGCGATTTGGTAAAGTTGAAGCTGGTAAATACTCTTCTAAATACAATGCGAATATAAGGGTAACGAAGGATTAAGAGGACGGAAGAGAGAAAAGCTGAGGGTTCGAGTTGGACTTTTTCTCTCCATTCATTCAAGCCATCTCAACTCAAAAGATTTCAACTAGTGTAGCTGTTCAAGACGTACATTTAAATTAGTTAAATATTAAGACTCCCTTCCTTAATTGCTACTTGGAGGAAGAGGTTTACATGAGCCAGATTGTGGGGTTTCTTGCCAAGGGAAACGAGGAAATGGTTTCCTGTGTCAAAAGAAACTAGTATGGTTTGAATTAAGTTACTGGGTAGCGGCAATCAATATTTGTGCAGTTTTAGCGCGATTTTAAATTTATCAGATTTCAAATTGAGAGATATGTTAAATTTAAGCAATTTGATAATTACATCGTGTTAACCTTCTTGTAGGTTACATGCTTGTGATAGGTACAAGAATAGAGAGAATCAATCCCTTAAAGAAAATATTTTCAGATACTATCTCCACGAGTGATTCGGTTTACATGAGGCAACTTGGTATGCAAATAACTAGGGGAAGAAAAGTGAAGTTACAGTTATCCTCATACTACATCGAGAAATCATTGCAAGGATTCAGCATGGACAATCAAAGTCGATTACAACTCTCGCAACTCAGTTCAAGGTTTTAAATGTGTTGCTATCAAAGAGAAAGAAACGTAGCGTCTAACAGAAGTTCCTAACGCTTTTGTTGTGCGAAGTCTTATAAATGACGCTGACCAATGGTGTACAAAAATGGAAACGAGGTTTGACTTTTGCATTCAGATAAGTCAACCCAAACAAGGGTGCACTCACCCCTTGTGTGTGTTCGGCGAGGGGCCGTCGCATTGAAGATGCTATGACGTTGCCGCAGAGTTATTGCTGTCTCTTGCTGACCTGCGGTCTCACGGCATCGCTCCTCGCCGCAAATTAACTAGTATCGTGTACAATGCCTGGGCTTAGAAAGATATGCAAATGGATCCACTCGGGAGGTATGACCATAAGCATTTATTGCAGTTTCTTTCTGCAATAATCATCTTATATTTTTGCTCGAAGCGAGAGGACTGGCCTTGGTGTTGGAAATAATAGCCATTGGTGGTACTGCTACGGTGAGGTTAATCACGACAATTCAAGCATTTTAGTTGTATAAGCAGTCATATTAGTCATCATTGTCAAGCACAATAAACACATTAATGTGACGTTGGCCGAGTTTGTTTCTTTGAAAGATTGAAACCAAAACAAAGACGAAAGGATGGACTGTGCGGACAGCAATATATGGGGTCCCGACATTGTGAATTCTAGAGGAGGTAATTCTAACCGTATCATTTATTGATGATGCAAGTAGGAATATTGAGTTTTTACCACGAAAGAAAACTCTGATGAGGTTGCCTCTATTAGGACTGAGGGCTTTGGAGGAAAGTCAAGTATCTACAATTTGACAATGGTGATGATTACTATGACAATAAATTTGAAGATTATTCAATTGAGTTAATATTACAGGAGTAAATCTATACATAGGACGCTATGAAAATGATTTATCTAGTATAATCAATATGACTATTTATACCTTCTTTCGATACATAAATATATATGATGCTTTCAGTAGCATCTATCGGCACCAGACGTAGTTAAACAGCAGCTTTAAACAATAGGAGTTCGTCTAGTCCCTAGAATACTACATTTCTATAATAAAAATGGTTGTAAAAAATTGACGATTATTCTTTTCCCCGTTTCTTGTTATATTTCCCGATACCATCATTAATATGTCATCAATTCTAACACAACTGAAAATATTATCATTTTTTTGGGCCTCCAGCTAAATCACTGATAAGTAGGACCAGGTTATTCTGCACGTAAAATAAAAGCTCAAGAAAATTATTGGCCTAGGATCGTTCTTAATTGTTGTGTCAATATGTTCCAACCGAGTCCACAGCCTAATGGAATCATTCTGATGGTCGATAGTATGGTTAGAGTGGAACATTCGCAAGCTGAATAACCTTTGGAAAGGAATACAGAATTGAAGTGGAGGGTTTTCATATGTTTCACCGGTGACACCAACAGCACCATTCATTTACATTGTTCTAGTTAGTATATAGTTTGACGTAGAAGACTAAATCACTCACTGATATTTCATCTCACACCTCGTCAACTCTGATCCCCTGTTAACAACCATTAAGAATGGTCGCGACGTGGCAACCTTGCATTCCCACTACAGTCCCGCATGGCGTATTTCTGCTGACGGTGGGAGATTTGTTTTACCACTCTCCATTATCTCTTCGCTCCATTCCGTCAATCCCCTCTCCTGTCTGCGTCAGTCCCCGTTGTGCCCGGCCCCGTACTCCTTTCTTCGTGGACTCGATGCCAATCATGCGATGAATTCTTCCTGTGACAAAAAATATCACTCTGGACTGGTGCAGGGAAAAAGAACCACCGTGTCTCCGCTGTTGCTAGCTTGTCGACAATAGAGAAACAGAGCGGATAAGCGAGAGAGAGAGAGTGTGTACGAGAACAGGGGTTGTTCAGTCTTTTCCAAATGAAAATAGACGTTATTGTAGTAGTTATGGGATTGAGTACAGCATATTTATCAGAAATTTGAAGGGGATATGAAAGTATTGTGGAGGAGTGAGCGATTAAAAGGACCCTCTTACTGTAAAAGAACCTTTTTGAATGATGAAAACTATCAGGAATATGAGAACGGTACTTCAACCATGGGACTAGAACCAAATATTGATTTTCAGGAGGGCGGGAGTTAATTGCGTATCTTGGTAGACCAAAGAAACATCGGGGATATATATTAATAAATCCGCATCTCTGATAAGTCCCAATATTCATATCAATAAATGGTTTGTGCCAGTCTCGGAAGGCAGAATAAGCCTGACCGAACCCATGTGCGCATAGATACAAGAAAGTTTCTCTCGAGGGAACTCTCATCTCACCTCTTCTATTGGGGAGATAAGGGGGAGAACAAGAGAGTTTTTGGATAGGACAATGGTCTATTCAAAACTCATCGTACAAGTGTGAGGCTAAAATCTCTCTCTCTCTCTCTCTCTCTCTCTCGCTGTCACTCACTCACTCGGATGTAGTTATATTCTAGCGCTAAAAAATGAACATACTCTTGCTTCCTTTTCAATGGTGAGTCCCTTGTCTTTCGGAGTTTCTCTTCTTGCGATGTGCACAACAGGTCATAAATACACCCTTTAGCAAATACACCATTCAACAAATAGTGGAAAACACATACAAAACTGATATCACTTTAGTCGTTATAAACAAAATGATCAAATTTCAAATATTTATAAACCGAATCAAAGCAAGAATTAAATTAAAGTTTAGTGAATCAAGGTCGTCCATAGAAATGATGGTCAACCTTGATATCATTTTTTCGTTATTTATAGTTTATTAAATAAAATAAATAATATTCTCCTTGCTTTAAATATTCCATAAAATGTATGAGCTCTAAATCTTCCAAATTTGATGTGCCCACACTCAACATTGATCAATGACACAAGACCAGAAAAATATTCTAGCAAAAATGGCACAAGAAATGTAAACATAAAAAAAAATAAAGGTTAAATCGGAAAAAACAGGAGGAGAGAGAAAATACATATCTTGTGAAATAGGAAATAGATTTGACTTGAATTCATATCAATCTTGATTAGTATCTCAAAATAAATAGATTCATATGATCTTAACAAAGGTAATTTCGACCAGAATACTCAGAATTAAAAAAAAATACCACCAATAGAATTGGAAAATGATTTTAACTTGAATTCTTATAAAAAAGGAATAACCTATCAAACTGAATAAATTTGAATGATTTAATAAATTAAACTGTCATCAGAAATGTCAAAATCACAATAAGAATAATGTGACGAAGTAAAATCAACACACAAACTTATGCTTTCTATATCTTCTAATGGCCTGTTGTCATCATTTGTTTCATTCAACATCCATGAATGTCAGTTTTATGGGCTCAAGAGAGGGCATCACCTTTGCCTAGCCTATTTGGACTTAAAAGGGCTATCAAGGGATGAGATCTAGGCTACCCATCTTAGGGCACCTTGAGATGAGATTAAAAAGAAGATTAGAACACCATATTTATAGAAGAAATCGGGCCATCCACTAAGAGAGTCGGTTATTAATCATAATCTTTTATTAGAGGGCCCTAATTTTCTAGAGGTCTAAGATATCTTGCCTCCCCCTCTTGGAGGATGCTTTTTAACTCTCTCTCTAGTAGTGATTAGCTGAAGGAAAAAAGAGAAAAATCAAATCTCGATCAATAGCATTTTCATACTCAAGATTGTCATGTAAAAAAGACTACTTGGAATGTATCAAGATCGTTGTGGATCAAGAACCACTCGGCCTATAACTGACGCACAATGAGGTCTGTGTAAGATCTAGATTTAGGACATTCTTGTAATCCTTTTCATGGATAGATTAACTCTTAGTTTGAACTAATTTTATCATTTATTTTATCATTCTATTGTATTAGATATATTCTCTCCCTTTTGCTACACTTTTTATTTCTCTTGTCTTCACTCTTTTTAGATTTAATTATGCCCTTCACAATCTCAAGTATATCTATATATATCTAAGAAATAAAATAAGTAAAATTCTTACTCTCATTACCCACGTTCCTTGAAGATTGACCCTTACTTATCCTAAAGCAAATAATGAGGGTTTATAAATATTATTTATATGAACTTATATCATGATGACATATTTAACCTCTAAATAGAGTTCATCAAGTACACATTTAATACTCTACTTATGTATTTTCACATGATGGTTTATGAATTATATCATTTTTCTATTTTTTACTAAGATGAGAGCATCAAGATAAATGAGAGGAGAAATATATGATTAATAGTTATTAGAGAAAAGAAGATTAATAGATAATTATGATGCATGACTATGAGCATACATATATTCTTAGTTTCATCATAGACAATTGAAAAATTAGTGAACATAAAAATGTAAAACTGTAAAACTAACTTGTTATTTTTGCAGATTGAGAGGGGCATAAAAAGGGGCATGCCTACAATGGGGCATACGATTCTAAAAGAAGACCGGCCGCCTGCTGGGACCCTCATTCACGAACAGGCCTCTCATTCCTTCCCTTCTTCCTTTGGTGCGTCCCTCTCTTACCATGGGGATGGCCTGCTCCTCCTCTCTTCCTTGGCGCCACTACAGCACACCATATGTTGGCCAGCTCGTTCCTTTCCCCCCTTCTGGTGGTGACAGCACCGGCAACAATCATGGGTCTTCTCCCTTGGTGCAGCAAGAAGAGGATCAACCAAGGATGCTCCTGCGTGAGGCACTGTTCTCTCCACAAGTCTGTCAGAATAAGAGGGAGAAATCATTTTTATTTTATTTCCTTTGACTTTTATGTAATCGAATCTTTTTTATCCTCGTTAATACAATCTAAATTTCGTGAAGTTCTATTTCCTTTACCTCATCGATTTTGAATAGTCTACGTCATTGAAGAAAGTGGGGTCCCATTCCTCAAGGCCAAGCATCTCACATCCTTAGAAAGGCCTCCATAAGAGGTTCTTCACATGGTCCGTTGGAACCCACAAGATTGCAAATCCCAATGCTTTTGCTCTTGGCACACGGTTAATTAAAACGCACGTGGTTTAAAATTCCGATGCTTTTGTCGCCATTGCTCTGTGCGTGGTTCAGGTAGTCATGATGAGAGTTCTGGTCGGGGGATGATCACTCTCCCAGGCGCAAAGATACGAGTCCATACAACTGTAGGCTATGAAAATATATATATATTTGTCATTTCCCAATTTTTTTCTGATGAATAAAAATAATCCGTTGAATTTCAACCGGTCCCTTTCCTCGCGTCGTCCGTTACCTATAAAGGAGTAATCAAGACTCACAGGGATAGTTTTCGGGAAAAAGTTTTCTAGGCTAACACTATTCTGTAGCAGGCTATCAACTATTTGAAGGCCACAGAAAAACTAGCTCTTCATTTCCCACCACACTGTCACAGATATTTCCCCCGATTTGTAACTAATCTGTCTCTAACTGAAAGTTTTTCTGTAGACCAGGATTTAATCATTCTCCTAGTCTCCAACACAAATGGCCATAGCTTAAACTCTTGTGCCATATGTGGTACTTTTACTACGGTCCAATAGTTTGGGTGTTGGACAGATTATTTAGGTTTTTTCCATCGAGCATGAGACAATAGATCTGATACTTATCCTACAAAACTCATTTCGTTTTCTAATTCATATGATGAATTAACGGTTTGATGGATCTACAGACGTGAATGGGTTTTGCCGAAGGATAAGTAAAATACATGTATTAAAAGACTAATAGTTAATTAGAAAAAAATACTTAATTCAACGAGGCGTGCAGTTCGGTTCCATGGTTTTCGTGAGTTATCTTCAAAATTAAGAATTAAATTAGTCTTGGGCATCCAACTATTCCTCATCTGGACAACCCCCTTCTCTAGATACTTCATCAGCATCTGTCCCATCATGCCATTACCACTCACCAAGATGCTTCTCTACTGTCAGCATCAGTTGTCCCCGTTCTTCACGCAGGGGTCTAATATCACAAAAAAGTCGCCTAATCTCATAAAAAAGGGATTAAATGAATTATTAGAGAAAACTTGAAGATTTATGCTATCACGAAGATCAAGTTATTCATCTGTGTAAACGTGACCGTCATAAACATGATGAATTCGTTATGCTGTCTTCTATATGTTCTCCAATATTTTCACACTTCCGAGAGACAAGAACTTCGCACGGTAACTTTTAAAACTCGTCCATATACCTGCGTGAACGAGTGTGATGAGGTTATTCTGTCTGCTGTACAGTATACTTGCATGAGAAATTAAGTGCAAAAAATCCGCACTGTCCTTGCACTCGACGAGTGGATCAAGTTGCATACTATTCCAAATGTACTGTAATTTCCTGTCAGACGAGCAATTCCGTGAGGCAGTAGGTCATCTAAAAGGAGCAGTGACTCCTGCTGCGACTCCAGCGAACTCAACGATGCCCAGTTGCATCAGCTTCGTGTCTACTCCTGCTGAAACCCGTAAAAAGATTCATGTTTGAATGCTTAAATAGCCCTCTGAAATCTCTGGAATATATACAAAAGGAAGCCTCTGAAATCTCTGGAATATAAACAAAAGGCGGCCTCTGAAATATCTGGAATATAAACAAAGGAAGCCCTTGGAGGAGCACTTACATGAGGTCCTCTTCACGACAGTTCTCTCAAAGCAGTTCCAAAAAACTCAAAGTTTTTCAAGATTACCTGAAATTTTAAAAATTTATCCCTTTGTAAATCATGTAAGGACCAAGAATACCAAACTTAAGATGTGAAATAGTTGATTACTTTAGTTAAGTACGGACTTGTGAAATGATCATGAGTAATATGCGTATTGGTTATGATTGACGTTTAGGAGGATTATGTAGCTAATTCTCCGACAGAGTTCACAGAATATCTGCACTCGTGTGTTCCGTAATAGATCCAAAGAGATCGTGGATATCGTATCAGACCCACAAAGGACTCTATAATATCACCACTTTCCACCAAAGATCTCAACATCACATTCCATTTCTGTATAAATCGTGGAGGTAATAGTTATGAAGAGTCATCAACTCCCGGGAAAAGGTAGAAAAACAGACCCCGATTTTGAGCAAACATTTGAACTTCATGGCATTAATGCTTTCGAGGCCAGACAGAGATTTATGAGAAAGATAAACATCTATTCATGACTTTAATGTGACCAAGGATTTTTTTATAGTCGTGTCCACTGAGGAGAAATGAAAATTCATCACAGTGAATGTGACTTATCGGTTTAGTCCTAGTTTGAGATAATAATTGATTTGTCCATTTGGTCGAACAATAGTTGACCACATGAAGTGATTCCGGAATAAGGTGGGGAGAAGATCGTAATTCAAGTAATTCCGACTGAAGATGAATTTACAAAACTCGCCACTTTCTAAAATGTGCGGTGAGTGCCGGCGTGTTTCTCGCTGCGTTCACATCCGTGAAGGTGATGGGCAAAGACTTGTATGTTCTTTCCTTATCATCATTTCGTACTCATCCATCTAATCTAAAATATCTTAGTTAAACTTATTATTGTTCCCTTGATGTCTTTGTCACATCGAAATTTTGGGAAACAAAGCCCCGGACAACAATGGCAGGAACATCATCTGTTTCTGCCGATGCTGAGCTCGTTTAACAAAGTTAAAAACTTCCCGCCAATTATGTGGGTTTCCTTACATGTATTTTAATTTCGTATGTATCAACAAAAATCCGTCGGATTTGTATGAATTGATTTTCTCTATTCCTAAACCTACTGAGGTGACAAGGCAGGAAGATGAAGGTTGAACATTCAACGGCGAAAACTTTTCCGAAAGAAGGCATTTTACATGCAAACGGTTGTTGTTTGTTTGGCTATAAATACGCAAGGAGCGGATAGCGATTTCCTACCATCAATTAGAGGAGATATCTCTTCTGAGAGAAGAAGAGAAGGATTTGTTCGGGTTAGAGAGGAAATGGCAGCATACCACCACTATTCAAGGATAGCATGCGCTTTTGTCTTGGTGCTGGTGACGACGGGGTTCGTCCATGCGCAGAACTCTCCCCAAGCCTATCTCGATGGGCACAATAGAGCCCGCGCTGCAGTCGGAGTCGGTCCATTGGTGTGGAGTAATATCCTTGCGGCCTACGCACAGAACTACGCCAACCAGAGGATCAGCGACTGTAGGCTTGTGCATTCCGGCGGACCGTATGGTGAGAACCTCTTCTGGGGGAGTGGAAAAGCTTGGACAGCTCTTGAGGCTGTCCAACTGTGGGTCGACGAGAAAATTTACTACAACTATAATAGTAATACGTGCGCAGCGGGGAAGGTATGTGGGCACTACACGCAGGTAGTCTGGCGTAATTCCCTGATGCTGGGCTGCGCTCGCGTCCGATGCAACAACGGCGCCATTTTCATTACATGCAACTATAGCCCCCCCGGGAACGTCCGCGGCCAGAGGCCATACTAGCGGTCTGTCGTCCGCTTGCTATGTTTGTTGTATCATTTCACTTCAAGATTCTGTGAAGTACAGAGTGAAGGCGTAATACTCTGTGGAGATGAAAATAATTTGCGCCTTTAATCAAGCTGACATACTTTGAAATGAACGGTAAATCCATTTCTCTCATAAATCAAGCTGACATGCTTTGAAGCTATCATCTGGCTAACCGAAAGAAGACGCAATCATAACTTCAATTTTTGCGGATTTCACTCTGTTTGCGCGAGTACAAGCAAGGCGGAATGAAATCCTTGTTCGGTATTCATATGTCCAGTGCCAATTAGACGACTAAAGTGTAATTACCGATTCACGTTAAGTGTGGCCAACATTGATCACCTTCTGCTTGATTTGCATTCGTAACCTGCTGACGCTGAATTTGCAGCATCGATCGCCTGCAAATCTCATTATAAATTGTGATTTATATTAAATATCAAAAGTGTTCCGACTTCTAATGTAAATTTAAGAAATCTACTTTCCGTGAAGTGGTGTCGTGCATTTGTGTTATCCTGATGGCCAAATTATTCAGATCTCCGTTTTGTTTACGTGCGAAGAGCTTATTACGATTCATATCTATGGCTTTGTACATCAAGTAAGAGAATGTTCGATACGAATTCTGACATCGTCGGTTCAATAACTTTCATCATAACCTGGTCGGAATACTGTAGGACAAGAGGAGATGCCGCGATTTCCTCTGTTTCCTGTAAAATCCATTCTGTCCTCTCTTTTCTGAGACTGAATAAAACCCAGGTTGTAGATTCAAGATAAGGTTTTGGAAGACTGTTTGCTCAATGGTGCCTTTCTTTCTGGTTCTTCCTATGTATCCAATATTAAAACAGAAAGGATTAAACAAGCCGCAGAAATTTTTCCTGAGAACCGATCCAATCAACATTACGCCCAGGAAGTACATACTTTCTCGAATAGACATATAATCTGCATTGTACCGGGTACAAGCGAAAGCACTACGTATTAAAGTACGATTTTCATCATAATTTTAGATTAGAACCTGTATGCATAAGGTTCGTTGGATTATTTACGAATTTGTCAATGTGGTCAACTAACAATGGGCACAAACACTAGTCTACAGAACGCAAACTCCTTGAGTACGAACTAAATGGAAAAAACTTTTTATAACCTTGTTTCCGAATAAAATAATATTAATAAATTTTATTGTGATGTGGTTTCTAATAAGTTAATAACTCTTTTTTATAGTGTCTTCGATGCCATAGTTCTTTGTTGTAACGGTGTTAGAAGATCAGTGTATTGTTTTTTGTATTCTAATTTTTGATCTGACCTAATATTTAGGGAATACGTTGTGTGAGAACTCTTGGCTGTATGATATCGATTTTATTTATGGAAAAAGTCCCGTGAGGTTTATTAATACCTCCTTAACATGAGTTGAGAAGAGTACTAACTTGGGCTCAACCTTATTTGAGTTTTCCTTGGAAAGCTTAACAGTATTGGCGGAAAGGCGCATATGAAGGTTCTTACGCACTGAGCCATCTTCCCAGGACATCACTAGTATGAACAACAGTGTAAAATCCAACATTTCACAACCTATGAATATACCTTAACTGTTCGGGAGCAGGAAACTACAGCCGAAAGTTAGAGTTCGTTCTGGCGTTCATTTCACTTTAAGTGACTTTGATCATATGATTCTCTCTTACAACAAGCCTAATCTGCTTGAGTCGTGATTGATGGCATGCACTGGAAAAGAACGTCCAATCGCCGTATGCTTTCCTATTCCCCTTATCCACAGAGATGGAGAAAGTCGTTGTTTGGCGGCTCATAGGAGACGTCATGCAGGTAGTGAGGGGTCACGGCGCGACTTTGGCAACAGATGGCGACTCCCTAAATCGGTTATTATCGAGGAGAGGAAGTAAAATTTCAAGAGTATTTTGAACTTCACGTCCGCCGTAGTAAATCTGCAAGTAAATTATTCTTGTTTCTGTAAATCTGCGAGTAAGTTGATTGTATAACGTATTGGCATATAAGAATTGTCTGTTTCAGATAGCGTAAGGCTGCATTCTATTAGGGGCTACTTCAGAAGCCGTGACAGGAGCCAGCCTCCGGAATAGCATTTTCATTGTTCCTCATCTCCGTTGGCAACCCTCAATGCGTTATTTATACATGGAAGGTTCACTGCGTAGCATCACCGACCACGCTCTCCTAGCCGTCGTTTTGGGAGAAGACAACGGAGCGTTGAATAGATCCTCGAAGATGACCGCATGATTATAGTTTTCTTAATGACGTAACTAATGAGGATTGATATACTTGTTCGCTGTTCTTGTTGTAATGGGGCATCACGATGAATAGCTCATCACAAATGTTTGAAAGAAAGTATTTTTCTTTGCTGAAGCCTTCTTAAATCTAGGGCTGTTTAATTATTGCCGCCGGTCAGAATCCATGCGAACTTTACTCTTTGGACTTGTAAGGATATGTAGAAAAAACACAGGCATCCAGAAACGGGAAACTCTATTGAAATACCATAAATACTTCCTGCTAGCAGGTTGAAACACGTTGAAACACGTGGTAAGTGGTAAGTGGTATTGTGTTGCATCAGGAATAGGACCATGTAAGACGAGAAACTTTGACGTCTTATGTTATACATTTTAAATGCAAAGGCTGAATATAAAACAATTTATAGACTTCAATTTTACGTGCTCAAAATAGTTTTCAGTAGCTCTATAGACGTGGGGGAGCTCTAAAACTTGTGGGTGTTGACAGTGCCCCAACTTTTCAAACCACAGTAACATTACATAACAGTAGCCACGGTTGGCCGATGATAAATTATGCCTTTTTTGACTCTTTATATGAGAGACAGCCCTCGTGATGTTGGTCTCTCCTATGTGAGAGAGAGAAAAAGAGAGAGAGAGAGAGAGAGAGAGAGAGAGAGAGAGAGGGGTGGGGGAGGGGGAGGGGTGGGAGAGATAACCGTAGATCCGACTCTCTCTCTCCGCTCGCCTCTGTTCTAACCACTCACTTCTCTTTTTTCCACCTGACTTTCCTATTTTTCTCAACTGATTTTTGTCAGGAAAACAAGGAAGAAAGACGTGGGAAAAAAGGGGAATAGGACGCCGGGGTTGATAGAGAGGCTTCTTCTCTATTCTTATCTTCTTTTGTTGAGAACGTGGGTTAGAGTGTGGATCCATTTGGGAGTCCAGTGGATATTTTGCGGACCATCATTGATGGGAAAATTTTAGGCACTAGCAGGCATTCATAATCTCAGAAAAGAGATCCATTCAGATCCTAGGTGGCTCCCTTCTCTACGTCTAATAGTTTTCTTTATGGTGCAAGTCTATCCTGAAATGTATGCGGCTGTATGAGGATTGTTCGTAGCCTTCATGTGATTATCTTCTATTACTTTTCTCTATTTTCTTCCGTCTGTATTCATATCTGGTTATTGCAGTACACACTTACATGGTGGATAACACATCTGACAATCTGACTTCTGCAAAGGGTATGGGTGTAGGAAATCACTTCAATAAACGAGAAAGCGAAGGACAATTTAATCCAGCCGGTCAATAAATGTAAAAATGTGGACTACAAACTTTTGAACGCTCAAAATCACCTTGAGTGCAATATTTATATAGTTTCTCCCAAAATCGAGTCGATAACAAGTCAAGATTGTAGGGTAGCAACTGCTTTAGTTTTACTTCGTTTTTATTTTCTTTTTCAGCTAATCGGATTTTTAAGAATAGTTAAATAGATGTCGGCCTATATAAAATTCTAGATCCTGTAATGTCACCAGATGATCAATAACATAAATTTCTCTCTATGTGAAGTTTTTGTATGTTTATAGATTCAAGCAACCCTTAAGTAAACAAGACTGTTTTCTAATCTTTTTGGATTCAAGGATCCTCAAAAATGAATCCTTGTCGATTAAAACATTAAAAAAAATCGTGCTTTGTGAATTGAAGTCCTAATTTTTGTTCTTCAAATTTGTGACTTGTAAATTCATGCCTTAATTCTGATCTTCAGTAACTTCTGCATTTGTAACTTGTGGATTCATGGGTTAATTCTTTTTCTTACTCCTACTATGTCAACTGGTATCAGAGCAACCCTTGTAGATTCAAGGGTATTATTTAAAATCCTTATCAATTTTTTTAGGGATTCTCATAAATCAAAGATTTGGGAAACTGCTGCATTGTGGATTCATGATATAATTTTCCATTCTTTAGTAATTATCATTATGTCAGATATCTACTCTCATTATATTGAATCTTTGCATAAAAGAATCCAAACACCACTATTGTTAGAGCAATCTTTGGTCCGAAATCAAACCATTCTTTACATAAATGAATAAAGAACCCATTAGAAATGCCGGAAATAATTGGCCTACTAACGACACAAAAATAGAGGAAAAGTTCAAATGTGACAAAGAATGGTACCTTGATTTAATATTTTAACCTCCCACTTATATTATCAATTTTAAAGTTCAATGGTGTTAGAAAATACTAATTTCTAAGTCAAAAGCAGATTGAAATAATTTTTAAAAACTATCACTATGAAAGAAATTAAATTTTTAAAAGAAGGAAAATATCAATACATATGTGGGGTAGATTATATCCCCATTTTGTCCAACTCATGCCCATGATAATATCACATATATTGGTTATCAAACCTAGTTGTGTCACCATTTCCAATAGTCATTCTATGAAAATGTTATCTAACCTTGTTTGTACTTTGAATGTTCTCTATACAATCTAAATGTTACAACTAGCCTCTAGTATTGATCAGATTGAACCACCAAGCCCAAGAAATATTCCATAAATGTAATGAACTATAAAGGGAGATACTAAATAGGTATTGTGTGGTAATTTTTAAAATATGACATGCTTGCTTATCCTTTATGTAAAAATTTCTCTAATCAAATAATTGATTCGAAATTTACTTTAACTTGTTCCACAATAACTTAAAATAGATCAAATATCCTTAACGTTTTTTGATAGATAGTAGACCACTTAATAATCATCAATGAAAAAAATACTCAACATCACAAGATAAAAATATGCCGATAAATACACTTGATACTCATGCTCATAAATAATCTTCAATCACATTATAAAAATATGCTGATTATAAAAATGTTCATATGTGACTTTAATATAGCTGAAGTTAATTAGACAAAAAAAATGTGCCATGTTGGATGGGTAGAGATTTAAGGTGCTAAATCTACCCAAGTATAGATTTAGGCAGGAAAAATTAATGTTAAATTATTATTTTTTTAATATTTATGGCACATAATAGGTTTTTTTAGTTTCATAACCCCCTACATCCAGACAGATTAATCTGCGTGATCACAGTTTATGTTAATGAGCGGGTGACTGAAAACCATAATCTCTTGCAACAATTCAAAGAGAAACGTCAATGAAGGATACTGGTGGACAGAGAGATGGTACACGTAGTTCTTTCACACGGATCGGTACAGTATTAAAAGAGGAGAGGTAAGATCTAACCACCCAAGACTCACCTCCGGACATAAGCCAGCAGAAAGATTACAGAGATTGGACGCAATATAGCTTGATCCAGCCTCGGATTCCAGTCCATTCACAGATGAGAGGTTAGGTCCCCACAGGACATGGACCCATTCATTCATGGGCAATTAGTGCGAGGGTTATTTTTGAGACGCAACGTCCCAGTTTCTTAATATCAACCCTAAACAAGTAATGAGGTGTTGCCGCAAGATGGGCCGCGAGTTAGCTGTGCAATAAAGTACGCATCGCACAAGGATAGGGGGCCCTTCACTAATGGAGCAATAAACGTAGGTGTTGCATTTCTGACAAAATGTGACAACCAATTCTCGCCTATTGAGTCCAATGACGAGCCAAATTCATGGACACTTGAGACATCCTTCGGCTCTCGTAATAAGAATCTGTGTCCGGTCATTAATGTGACTGGTGACAATATATTCTTTGAGCAGATCTAGACGTGCCTTTTTTCAAGACTGTGTTGAGATCAAAGTTAGGCGAGACCGGCCCATTGACGCCACAGTGAGATCACGCCATACAGGCTTTAGCTTTTAATACTAATTAAGTTGAAGAAACGGATGCCATCTAACCCCGTTTAACGGGAGGGCAACGTGTAGAACAGTGCAGCATAAGCAGCTGGTCGCCCGTAGTCTACTACTATCTGAGACGACCTCCTCGCCGCTCGTTAGTAGACGGGATGGAAACATGGCAGCTCCGAATAGAAATCACTGGAGCAGCGTCCAACATGAAGGGGGGTAGAATATCCACTATAGGACGGCGATTTCGTTGTGAAGACTTTCCTTTGACCTCCTCGTCCATAAAACGGCCACCGAAATCCCCCCTAAATTTGAAGGAAGATCTCCCAGGGAATAAGCGGAGGGGGAGAGAGAGAGAGATGGGTTACGGGAGAAACAGTGCAGCTTGGGCTCCGACGATTCTCGTCGGGCTATCCATGGTGCTGCTTTGCTGTGCCCAAAACTACCCGATAGACTACCTCGACGCCCACAATGCCGCACGGGCGGAGGTGGGCGTGCAGCTGTTGCAGTGGGACGAGGCCCTGGCCGCCTACGCCTTCGGCTACGCCCTCGTGCGGTCCGTCGATTGCGAGCTGATCCACTCGGGGGGACCCCACGGCGAAAACATCTACGAAGGATACGGGAACGGGGCCTCGTCGGGGACCGACGCTGTGAGGTGGTGGTACAACGAGAAGCCGTACTACGACTACGCCGCCAACGACTGCACCGGCGGCGTGGACTGCCTCCACTACACGCAGATGGTGTGGCGAAACTCTGTGCGCGTTGGCTGCGCCCGAGTCCCGTGCAGAAACAGCTCCTTCTTCGTCACCTGCAACTACGACCCTCCAGGCAATGTCTGGGGCAAGCGGCCTTACTGAGTGAGGCCGCTCCCCGTCTCCTTCCTCGGGCAAGATTAATGTTTCTCTGTCTCTGTAGCCAGAGGAGGGGACCGGAGAAAGAAAAGCTCTCTCCGCTAAGGCCAGGCCCCCCTTCTTCTTCCTATAACTAGAATCAACACGGATGAAGACTACTCTCAAGTGCATGACTTTACTCCCTTTTTTTCTTCCAAACATGAAAATTTTACTGGGGGAACCGGGCAAAGGGGCTGACTTAAGAGAGATTCATCTATCTACGAACAGGCATCATGTACATTTACATTTTGCCTTGAATATCAGCACAAGTATAATCTATTGTTATGTCGATCTCTCTCTCTCTCTCTAAAACGCCCCGCCCCCCATCGTTTTCACTTTTTCTCTCCGAAGAAAGAATCACGGTGGTTTACCCATTCGCGAAGCCAACGTCGCCCTGCCTCCACAGAGTTGGATGGTTTAGATGGTATGTTGAACTCAAAATGTCAATAATTCTGTACAAAATCCGTGGTGCTCCGTAGAATATGTGCATGAATATCGTTAAATTTAACAATTGAAAGCTATACAATCTTCCTTTTGGCATGTTCAGGACGCATTCTCGTCGATATTCAGAGGGGAACAATGGCCGTTGTCCCTGGACGATTCTCCATCAAATGATTCTCGCCTAATGATTGAGAATATGGAGTGGAAACGGGGTCTCCGGAAAATTATCAAGTATTATTGCTTAGATCGTATGATTCCTCAACAATTCGATAATACAACAGTTCAGTGTTTCAGTTAATTGGATACATAATCAATGCCCAATTAGTCATGGAGGGAAAGCATTCCTGAATTTCGTACTACAGACCCCCAGAATGCACCAAGATAGAGAGCCAGGGACACAGAGGGCGAGAGAGAGAGAGAGAGAGAGAGAGAGAGAGAGAGCGAAGCGACCTGCTCGCGTTCCCAAATCAAAGACAAGTTGCGGAAGAAATTACAAACCCGTCCTTGGTTGCTGATTCTTCTCATTATACGGATTGATCCAAGAGATGTTTATATTCTCTGTGGCGCATTTAAACAGACAGATGGAGAATGGATAGACACCGTTCGTCGTTCACCAGGAGTGAACGATTCGCTTACTTGATTACAACAGATCAAAGAACAGATCAGCCGGCCTCCACGCTACCATCAGAAATAAACCTAAATACGGAGGGGAAGAAGAAACTGGTGATATACGACGATGACGATGAAGGGTGAGAAAGGAGACAAAGAATCCGCGGGCAAACGATGAAATAGATCAGGAGATGACACACAAGGACAGCTTCGGTTCGGCTTCCCCTTCGACAGTCAACGCAGATGCCACATGGCGACCGCACCCCGCCCACGTGCTCTTGCCGCACGTGCCACACTTAACTGCATAGCACATTTCCGCTTATCTTCCGGCGCCGGTCCTCGCCTCTTCCCTTCCCTTCCGGCGGCGGCCTTACAAACTCCACCCCCCAGGGAGATCACAATGCCGGCGATCCAGGTCTAGCGATCCACAGGACTAAGACTTTTCTTCTTGCGATATAGGAAAAGCAGGGGAGAGTGAGGCGAGCCGCCCTCCAAGACGTAAACCGCGACGTCTTTCCGTCGTTTATCCAGCCCCGGATCAGATTGACCTCCGACGCTCTCTGGGATGTCAATCACTCAGGATCCTCCTCAGTTGGCGAGCGTAAGTCAATGTGGTGAGCTCCTAGAAGAGGAAATAGAATCCCGCGTGAGAGATTGATTACCGCAAGAAACGCATACCCAATTCAGTAACGAGCGCTACGATGCTTCTGGAGATGTTCTGCAGGACGTTGAGATGAAAAAATTCTCTCTTCATCGGTCAGATTTTAGGGCTGTTCGGAGAGAATGAGAACAGCGGGTAAGTAGACCCTGATAAGGTTTGGCGGGGAAACCACACCTGCCTCCGCTCCAGGGATCCAGCTGCCCGTTGGAGAATATGATGTTGCTGATCAAAACCCTAGCCTCAAGGTGTCAAATTTTTATTTTACCCATCATGAAATTATAAAATGTCCTGATCTCTATACATGTTTAACCTTTATTTACAATAAATGTCATAATCCCTTATTAAGACTAAATAAATCACTTTAATAGGATTATATTAATGATAGCCTCATGATATACTATATATATGTTCCTAAATTTAGATCAAATCCAACAATTTCTCACTTAAGCAACACATATATGATAACCTGATATTGTATATCATGACCTTATGAACTCAAAATTATTGTCATCACTTAAATCATTTCTAACAATCTAGTCCATCATCATATCGATACAAGACTAAAAGGATTTGCATCATAATAAGGTATGACTAAACCCAATAGTAATCACATATACCAATATAATGAATAATATTAGATCAAATTTAGATGTGTAGCATAGAAATTACATGTAATCTGATTTTACATGTACATTTCCAACAAGCTCTAAGTCCAAATGGAGATCAACCAAATGCAGAAAATAACTAAAGGGTGTGTTTATAACCGAATGAGCATTTTTATACAAACTTCTATTAAAAATATATATCGTCATGAAGAACTACACTCATATGAGCAATATGTTCATTGAAAACTTTCACTAACTATGGATCTGCAACTATAGAGTTTGTGCCAATATGCTCTATATACACTTAATCATTCTGAACTCTTTTATTGACAATTAGGAACTTAATGTCTATGTGTTTAGACTTTGTCAAACTCATGTTGTTATTAGAATACATAACAGTTACTTTATTGTTACAAAATATCTTTAGAGGCCTTTTGATTCTATCAATAATTTATAATCATGTGACAAATTTTTGCAGCCATACTCTTTAATTGCATGTCTCATAGCATACTACAAATTCTCTTACTATGGTAGAAGAAGTTGAGTGTTTGTTTAACATTTTTCCATTGTATAGTCCATCTAGCCAATAGGAAGATATAACTTATAGTGGATCTTCTGCTATTAGTCTATTTGGCAAATTAGAATTAGAGTATCTGATAATCTCCAACTAATCTAATTTCTTATAATACGTGACTCTTTTAGTCTCTCTCTAATGATTCACACCTAGATTGCTCAAGTATTTGCCTAGCATTTCAACTATGTACTTAATATCAAAACATGTATATCCTTGAGCATACATAAGACTTCATATAGTTGCCCCATTAGACATCTTCTATACCTCTTTAGTTTCATAATCCTTTTTGGGAAGTTGATTAAGATTGAATATATCTCTTTTATTCATAGGGATATCACCTGATTTACATTCTTGCATGTCAAATCTTTTTAAAACTTTATTGATATAACTTTTCTATGACAATCCAATAATATTTTAAGACTGATCTTGGTATATCTATATGCCTAATACATCATTAAGATCTTTCATCTTAAAATTCCTTGATAAAAAACCTTTAGTGTCACATAATAAGTTTATATCATTACTAGCAAGTATTATATCATCAATATCTAAGCTTCAGAAGATATAGTTACTCTCACTAAATTTATGATATACACAATCATCAATTGCATTCATTTCAAAATTAAATGAGATGATAACTTGATGAAAATTATGATATCATTGACGGGAAGCTTACTTGAGTCTATATATAAATTTCTTTAATTTGCACACTATATTCTATAGGTTTCTTGACTCAATGTTTCATGACTGTGATATATAAATTATTTTATTAATATCATCATTGAGAAATGTAGTCTTTACATCTATTTGATGTAACTCAAAATCAAAATATGCAACAAGTACCATTATTGTTCTAAAAATTTCTTTCAAGAACTAGAGTGAAAGTCTCTTTATAATCGATGCCTTCATTTTGAGTAAATTTCTTAGTGACAAAACGAGTCTTATATTTGTATACATTACTTTTTGAATCTCTTTTAGTTTTAAATATCTATTTACAACTAATGAGTTTTGCATCTTAAAGACATAGTTAATCTCTTTCTTTGTTACATTTATCGATGTTTGAGAATTAAAATTGTATATAGCCTAATAAAAGTTAAAATCATCTTCTATCATTCTAACATCAAGCTCATATTCTTAGAGAGAGATATAATAATCATTTAAAAGTATATTTCTCCTTTCTCTAGTGGATCTCCTTAGGGGCACTCGTTATTGGGAGTGTTAAGTTTGTTCTTTTGAAATGAGAAGTACGAGAACATTATTTTCATCTATCTTAGAACACAAGATAAAACTTGATTCTGATTATTGTCAATAGTAATAAGAGAAATTGAAACATGTTCCTCTTCTAACACAAAGTCTCTAACCTTATCCTCTAACGTGACCAAGTCATTGTATAATAAATTATGTAAATTTAAATATTTCTAGAATTAGATAACATTATTTTTTTGATATTTAGAAATATTTTTTAAAAAGTCTATTAATTATAACTCAATAAAAGTTTAAAAATAATGGTAATTTTTTAGGTTGATCATAGGGATAATATAATAATAGGTAATATTTCAGAATTTTCTCCATAGAATATGATTTTTTATAACTTTTAAATTAAGTAAGGGTGTAGGTATCAAGATGACATCACTATCTCAACAAACATGAATCGGGCAAAAATAGAGTTTCACTTGGTGATTCTTACATAAACGATTAAAGATGATTTAATTAGTCAAATTAGGATCTATAAAACCTAAAAGAATCATAATTTAATGAAGAAAAGATTCAAAACTTAAATTTCACACAAAGTATCACTAAATTAAGTAAGCATTAAGGTGAAAGCAAGAAAGATAGAGTTCCGGCTTGGCAATAGTGATTGTCGGAATTCAATTTATTTAGAATGGTTATCCTACAATGTCCATGACCTTAAGGGTGGACATAGACAACTTATGTATTTCTCTATCTTCTTTCAAAGTTTAGAAAATGATAGTAAAATTTAAATTAATTAAAAATAATCAAATAGAGTTCCAACGTCGTGACAACAGTGTGTCAAAATTCTGTGAATCTGAGAGGACTATCAAATAATGTCTAAGGT